AGCAGAGGCTCACGGGAAGGGCCTTTCTCCCACGGGAAGGCTACACGTGAGCAGCAGAGGCTCACGGGAAGGGGCTTTCTCCCACGGGAAGGCTACACGTGAGCAGCAGAGGCTCACGGGAAGGGATTTCTCTCTTTGAAAGGATACTCAGGGGTGGCAGACGTGCAGGGAAGGGGATTTCTCAAGCCAGGGCTCCAAAGGCTCAAAGGAAAGGGTCATTTAGCCCCAAGCCGTGTTCTAGGCCACAAAAGCTCTCAGTCCAGAGGCACATGGGACGAGAACTTCTCTGGGGAACAAGCATCCAGCCCATTTCCCAGCGAGTGCGCCTCACCTGGATCGCCTTCAGCTCCTTCTGGAAGCGGAGGACAAGCTCAGGCCCATTTTCCATGGTGGGAATGTGGAGGTGCTGGGAAGAAAGTGCCATGAGGACCGGGCTCCTCCCCCTTCTCTCCCATCTCCAATGGCAGCCCCACCTCACCTTGCCTTGGTACAAGATTTGGTGCACAGGGCAGACCTGGCAAGCGGTGCCTGAGCCAAAGACTTCCCGAACCCGTCCCTCTTCCAGCGCCCGCAGCATCTCCTTCATGGTGATCTTCCGCTCTACTACCCGGAACTCACCCTGCGGGGCAAGAGACAGATACATATGAGCCCAGCTGCAGAGGCCCGCCTCTGCCTCCCTAAGGATGCTGAGAAAGACAGAGACCCAAGTCGGGGAGACAGACACCCAGAGAGAGGAGGGCAGAGACATGCCAGTGAGCCCTAGCCCCCTGATGCTTTGGGCCCCCAACATAGCAGTACCCCATCATTCCTGCTGCCCGAAGACACCACGTCCTCACCCAGGTCTGAGCCAGGTCCAGCAGACTCTGTCTCACTACTCCAGGCAGGATGACACCGTCCAACGGGGGCGTCACCAGTTCCAGCACTGGGTCAAGTGTAAGGGATGGGGGTGTTACCTCACACCCTCGTGCACACCCTCCCATCCTCTGAGGAGCCACCCCACCCAACCCCAAGCCCTGAGACCTGCAATCTGCTAGGAATCATGGTACCACCCACTTCCACCAGGGCTTGGGTTGGGTTATGGGTGGGCTCACCCCCATCCTCGTGGGTCCAGTAGATGAAGATGTTCATGGTGCCCACCTCAGTGAGCTGTTGGTCAGGCCCATACAGCCAGAGGACTTGTTCGCAGCCCTTCCTTTTTGCCTCCAGCTGCACAAACACCGTGGGCCCATAATTCCTGGTGGAGAGCAACATAGGTGACCAGGGTAAGGGACCCCCATCCTTCCCCAACATGGTCCTAGATGAGTCTTTCCATACCGGGGCTGACCCTACTCCTCCTCAACTCACAGCCCTCCCATGGCTCCCCAGTGCCCCCAAGACAGAATCCCTGGCCAGTAGCTTGGGGTCAAGGCTCTAGGTGGTTGGTGCCCCCTTACCTTCCTTTTCCCACTCTGCAGATTACAGTACATCACTGTTTTCTTTGCTGGGATCACTTCCGCACCCAACTCCCCAAATGACCAAATCCCTAGTGTCCTTCAAAACCACCTGTGATGTCACCTCCTCTCAGCGCCATTTCCAAGCCTCAGGCTGGGTTCCAGGCCTTCTCTGGGCTCCCCCAATAAATTAAGCCACCTCGACGATTTCCCATATCATCCTGTTTTAATACTGTCTCTCATCCAGAGCTGACTTCACCCCTCATCTGCTCACAAGCTTCCCATGGCTCCCCATTGCCTTTGGGACAAGATCCCAGCCCCTCAATCTTGTGTTCAGGGCCTATCCGGGTCTGTGACTCCTTGTTAAGCCTTTTGCAAAAACCAGACTTATTTTTTTTTTTTTTTTGCTGACAACTTCCGTGACTCTGCCCCCTACCCTGTCCCCACACCTGTGGCCCCTAGGATTAGAAATCGTTTACCATCGTTTGTACCCAGGAAACCATCGCCTTCCTACCCACCAGACTCAGCTGAGGTGTCACCACGTCCTCTGTGAAGTCTTTCACAATGCCCCAGTCACCTCCATCAGAGCACAGGCTGCTCTGGATATTGGGGTTCCCACCAGCCTGGGAGCCCCTGGAGGACAGGGCCCGGATCTGACTCACCCGTGTCCCCAGTGTCACCCAGCACAAGGGCCTGGCCCTTAGGAGACCTCACAAGATGTGTGTTGAAAGGATCTGAATCAACTCCCAGCGGAGGCCACACTTGCTGTCCCAGCATGCCCTTACGCCATCCTCAGCCTGATCACCACCCAGGAGACCCTTTCTGCCCTGCTGAGCCAAGGGCTCTGGAAAGATAGATTTACTCAGAAAGTCCACACGCAGGGTGATGGGCACTGGAGGCCCAGGGGACTATGGGAGCCAAGCGTGGGGGTGGGGGTGGGGCTGGTAGAGCATGGGTGTTCAGGGTAGGCTACCAGGGAAGAGACCAATGAGCTAAGTATAAACTTAATTTCTGGAAGCTTCTTGGGGGACCAATCCTGGTTTCTCCACTGACCTCCACCCAACCCCTTCCTGTCTGAGCTGACTTGTCCACATGCCTTAGCACAGACTCCCCCCACTTCCCCACCACCACAGTGCCAATGACATCACATCCCAACATGCGAGCACCGCTGTCCCCAACCATGTGAAACAGGACAGGGGGGACAAAAGACATCCAAAGACACATCCCAAAGTGCGGGCACTACACCCTGTGTCTCTGAGTCCAGTGTGCCAGACACGCGGGGTTGGGGGAGGGACTACTTACCCCCCCAACTTGTAGTTGCCGACCCCACCCACCCAGGCGCGGATGAATGTTGGGTCAGCCAGGAGGGAGACAGGGCTCACGGCGTCTCCAGGGAAGTATGTGCCCACTGGGCAGAGAATGACGTACAGGAGGGCTTGCGTGGGAGGGCTGACACCTAGGGAGGGCTGTGATGGGCAGAAGGGGACATCAGGGACGCAGGAGTCCAGGCCCCCAGCCCTCCCCTTCAGGACCCCCCCCCAGGCCCACCTCGTTCCCGATGAACACAGGCCGCACGTAGAGGCTGGTACCCGTGCTGGCAGGAACCCAGTCCTTGTCCACTTCCACCAGCCGGCGGATGCACTCGAGCAACTCGGCCTTGTCAAAACTCTAGGGGGGATTCTGATGAGTCAGGGGGCCCTTGAAGCCCTTGCGCCACCCCATGCCCTACTCCCCGCAGGCTGGCCAGGGCCCCTCACCGGCAGGCAGAGGCGCAGGGCCGAGCACAGCATCCGGTCCATGTTGAGCCAGGGTCGGAAGAGGCGCACCCGCTGGTCACTGCCTCTGAACGCCTTCATGCCCTCAAAGAGCTGTGGGGGACAGGTGGGTGGGTGGCTCGGAGACCACCTCAGACAGTCACGAAGAGACGGTGAGAGACACCAAGACAGAGACTGATAACAAGGATATAGACACAGAAGGATGCAGAGAGACTGCATAACATGCTGAGCACAGAAAGTAAGAGAGAGAGACAAAAGAGAGACGGATAGAGACCCAGAGAGACTTGAGAAAGCAAAGGACGGAGACCAGAGAAAGCAGAACACAGAGACCCAGAGACAGAGGTGCAGAAAGAGTGCCCTGCTTAAACCCTTCCCATGTTACTGGTTGTGTTTCTCAGGAATGATGACAATGTGAAAGTGATGTTTTTAAAGAGTCCTTGTGTTTTAGAGGAACACTGAGATGGCTATGGATGAAATAATACAATGTCCAGGATTCGCCTCAAAATCATACAGAAAGGGGAAGAGGATGGAAGTCTAGAAGAAACAAGACGGTGACCAACATGTGCTAACTGATGAAAGATAAAGGAGAGAGGGTGTTATATCATTCTACTTTTATGCTTGAAATTTCCCGTAAGAAAAACATTTTTCAAAATACAAAACAAAAGTTGATCCCCACCCCTACCCTGTCACTCCCCCCAGCCCTGGAGGCTCCACAAGATCTGGTCTCTCTCCCCTCAGCCTCCTATACTAACAGTGCCCACTGGGCCCCCACTGCTGCCACCATGGCCACCTCCTGCTCCCAGGTTTTGCACCCGCTGGATCCTCTGCTAGGACACTGTCCTCCTTGCTTCACCTCATGTCTTCCAACTCACTTCTCAGGGCTCAGTTTAAATGTTACATCCTTCATGGTGTTACATCCTCACCCCCAGACAGGTCAGGGCACCCTGATTCCTTCCCCATGGTTCCCTGTTTGCTTCTTCAATGTTGGCCTCACTACAAATGGGAAGTGCCCAAGGGTCCCCTGTGTCCAGGGCAGGGCTTGGCACCGAGTAGGTTTTTGTTGAATAAATGAATAACTAAATGCATGAAGGAAGAATGACAAAAAAAAAAAAAGCAAAAATAAAAGAACAAGGGAAAGAGGTGAGAGTGGGAAGAGGCTTTATCAGATATTAAAACAGATTATAAACCTACAGTACTTAAAACAGAGTGACACTGATATATGAGTAAACAGAATGAACAATGGACAAAACTAGAAAGTGATTATAAAGCAATGGGGGAAAACATGGTTAATTCAATTAAATGGTGCTAGGACAACCAAATATCCATCTAGAAAAGAAAATTAAATTGGATCCCTACTTGGGCAGGCCCCATGGCTTAGCGGTTAAGTGCGCGCACTCCGATGCTGGCGGCCCGGGTTCGGATCCCGGGCGCACACTGACGCACCACTTCTCCGACCATGCTGAGGCCGCGTCCCACATACAGCAACTAGAAGGATGTGCAACTATGACATACAACTATCTACTGGGGCTTTGGGGGAAAAATAAAATTTAATAAATAAATAAATTAAATAAATAAATAAATTGGATCCCTACCTCACACCTCACACTAGGAAAAATTCCAGGTGGATTACAGATTTAAATGGAAAAAAATTAAACCATAATAACTATAGAAGAAAACACAAGATAACTGTTTTATATCTTGAATTGGTGATAGTATTCTAAATATGACAAATCACAGAAGCCAAAAAAGAAAAGACTGATACAATTGACTGCATAAAAATAAAACAAACTGGGGAGAGATTTTCAACTCCTATCAGAAATGGTTTATCTAATATATAAAGTACTTCAACAAATAAATTTTTAAAAACCCACTCTGATAGAAAAATCAGCCAAGAAAATGGACAATTCACAGAAAGGAAATAGTAATGGCTCTTATGCTTGTGAAAAGATGGTCAACTTCATTCATAATTAGGGGGAAAATGCAAATTAAAATGACTCTGAGATATCTTTAAAACCATTTAGGAGATTAGAAAAGATCTAAAAATTTGACAAGGGCTGTCCAAGGTATGGAGTAAACTGTCTCTGCTGGTGGGCGTGGAAACTGATACAACTTCTACAGATGTGGATGTAGCAATACTTATCACAATTACAAGCTCACACACCCTTTGACCCAATGGTTCTAGAAATTGAGCAGAGATTAAGATACACTTGCACTTAAAGAAAGTGATGTGTTTACTGCAACATTGTTTGTAATGGCACAAGAATGGAAACAATCTAAATGTCCAACAATAGGGGATTACCTAAATGAGGCATTGTTAAGATGGAATACTATGCAGCAGCAAAAAGAAGGAAAACACTCTTTGAAGGCTGCTTAAGAATCTCCAAGGAGGAAGGCAAGATGCCAAACAGTGAGTGGACAGGATGCTACTTTTTGTGTGAAAAGAATGGAGTGAAACAATTATACACATCAATGCTGATATCCAGAGAGCAGAACTCTGGAAGGACATGGGATGTGGTAATTGGGGCTGCTTCTGGTGGGGTAGGGGAGGTGCTAGGTGGCTTGGGAGCTGGGGAGGTCTATTCCCTTTTTAACTTTTAGAACTTTGGACTGAGTGAATATATGACTCATTTTTTAAAAAGATGTTTTTAATTTAAAAACACTCCAAATAAAATTAAAAATTTAAAAACACAGGGAGACAAGGGCAGAAAGCAGATTAATAGTTGTCAGGGACTGGGGCAAAGGGCATGGGGAATGACTCCTTAACGGGTACAGGGTTTCTGTTTGGGGTGATGGAAAACTTCTGGAACTAAGCAGTAGTGATGGTGTACAACATTGTGAACGCACTAAATACCACAGAATTGTAGACTTTAAAATGGTTAAAACAGTATATTTCATGTTATGCATATTCTTATGTATGAGTGTTATTACCATGATAATAAAAAATAACAATACAAGTGGTTCACTTGTTATTCTACACATGCCCCAGAGTGAGGATGACATGGGGACATGAATTTCCTGTGCCTTCGGCTGGCTTCAGTTCCCCAGGTGCCCTGTATGAAAAGGATGGCAAAAACATATGTTTTGTACACCGGGGCCTCTAAATCCCTTCATGTGCACTCACTCAACTGAAGAGAAGGTACTGGATCCCCAGCTGGAAGACAACCTGCTGTGTTGGGCTCAAAGGAGAGGTAATAAATGGTGATCTCCCCAAACCACCATCCTGGGGGGATCTGTGGACAGAATCCTGATTGTCTGTCCTTGGTTTCTAATTGCCACCGGAGGTGTGTCTCCTCTGCACAAAATTGACTGGTTCTAGTTAAACGTCCAGAGCAGGTGGGGAAAAAAATCCTCTCAGAATTCTGGCAAAAAAAAAGAAAGAAAAACATGCCGAATGTCACAGATCCCTGCCCTAGGGACAGAAATTACTCAAACTGCAAACCAGCTACTAGGACCGTAATACGTTCATTCAAATCTTGTCACAACTAGAGTTTCCTCAGGGACACTCTGCTTCCAGCCATAGCTTTAAGTCGTAAGCCAAATGCCTCCTGGGTCTCTCTCCTTACAGGCCCCTCACCGAGTCTGGCAAAGCTGATCCTCCTCCTGAGTCCCTAGTTGGGGACAGTCCCCTGGTCTACCTGGTCACCTGGCCAAACCTCTGGGCACCATCCTTGGCCCTCCCTTGCCCCCTCTCGCTCAGCCCACCAAATCCCTCGTGTCCCTGAATCTCTTGGCCTCGTCCCCTCCCGTCCATCCTCCAGCTCTACCCCTAGCTCAGGCCTCCACATCCACCTATTCTCTTCTCTCTAGACCTTCACCCCAGCCCGACATCCAGGCCTCCAGCTCATCCTCCACGTGGCCTGAGAGGGGTCTTGCTATACCCAGGGCTGGCCCTGCCCCTCTCCTGCTCAGAGCCCTCCATGGCTCCCACCGCCCTTGAGAAGGTCTTAGCCCCTCAGCTCCTCTGTGGCCCTGATGACATCTTTAGCTTCCTCCACCACCTCCAATCCCACAATTCCCCCCAAATATGCCAGCTCTTCTTCGTATTATGTCTTTGTACTGGCTGTCCCCTTGCCCTCTAACACCCTAAGCTATCCTCTTTGCCAGGACAGACCCCACCTTCCTTCCAGTTGGAGGCAGGATCAGGTTCCTCGTCCAGCCTCCCACAATGCCTCAGCTGCCTCCACGAGAGCACAGATCTCACTGGGTTGTGGCCAACATATGCAGTTTTCAAGTGAAGGAACTAGGTCTGCTCATCTCAAGGAACCCAGCATCAACCAACACAGGGCCTGGAACATGACAGGCCTCAGAAAACGGATGATGAATGCACGGAGAGAAGAAACACACAAAACGCAAACCCAGGGAGGTGGACGGAGAGAAGAAACACACAAAACGCAAACCCAGGGAGGTGGACCCGGCAAGAGACACAGCAGGAGGGAAGAGATGCACAGGCAAATGGGATAAAGTTCACCGCCATGCCACCTGCTGTGAGTAGTGAATGGCGGAGCAGGCTGGGTGCAGCATGAGGTTCTGGAAGGGCTGGATTCGGGGCTGGCCCCAGCCCTTCTCCTCATTCCATTCCACCATTAGCATGTGGTCGGTGAATGTCTTCCCAAACACCAGGGGCTTGCTGGGGTCAGGCTTCTTATGAGGCTTCTGCGTTAGTTGCAGCTGCAGGTCTGCAGCCTGAGAAAAACAGAGGCACCCGGGTGTCCTGGAATCTGGCCACAACCTCCAAACTAAAAAACTACAACTCCCATGAATCCCTGGGGCTAAGACCTAGAGAGAAGAGGATGTGTAGCCCCATGGGCTTCTGGGACATGCAGTTGCATTTCTCTCCCACTGCCTAATGGCAGGCCATTAAACTACCCTATTGCCATCCACCTTCACCTTTGGGCCCTGGACCTTCTGGAGATGCCCACTTCTAGCCCCCAGCCCTCTCCTCCCTGAAACCTAAGAGTCCCAGCCCCCAGCCCCTCCTCTTTGAGATCCAAAAGTATAGTCTCCTTCTTTTACCTTAAAGTTGGATGAGGCATATCGTCTGGGGCCACACAGAGGCCAAGGGACAGGGAGAAGTTTTCGGGCCCAAATCTGGGGATGGGGACAGAAGTAAGAAAGGTGGTGAAGCCAGGAGAGAGAGCAGGGGGCCCTGGCACCCCTTCTGCCACCTCCTGCACTTGGGAGGTCCCTCTGGTCTGCTGTGCCCCGGGCCCAGTGCATTCTCAACAGGGCATATGGCCCTGGCCAAGACCCCTCCCCTGTCCTGATCAGCATATAGCAGGAGGAGATCCTGAAGGAGGCCAAGTCCCTCCTTCAAGTCCATGAGGGCCACTGCTAGAAAGAGCTGAATCAGCTCCCATCCCCTCCTCCATGTTGGGGCAAAGTCAAACGCAGGCGCCTCCCACCCCAGGGAACTTTGGTCCCAGCCCTGAGACCAGCTCAGACAGAAGACGATGAGGGAAGGTGTGCAGGTAAGTGAAGGCCTCCCTGGGGGACCCAAATCCCGATAAGAGTTAGAAAAGTGAGGGACCTATATATAGGTCATGCTCTCCAGTACCCGAGAGCTGGGCCCCCAGCTCCCTCCACTGTCAGACCCAGGAATCCAAGTGTTTATTCTTTTAGGGTATTAGATCAGCTGGGCTCAGATTACCTGGAACCCCTAACCCTACACCTTGGACACCAGTGATTCTGATTTTGTTCAGATCCGGGGGCTGAGGGGCAGCTACATGGACCTGGGGGGTCACCCCAGTCATCAACAGACACTATTCAGATGAACACTTCCCTGTGGTCCTGCCCGTGGCAAGCAGGGGAGAGCAGGTCTGGCTGTGTCCAGCAGGGTGGCCTCTCCCCAGTGTCTTTTGCCCTCACAATGCCTCTTTCTCCAGCCTGGCGGGAAGGCAGCTGGGTCATGAGGTTGAGGGAGACAGAACAGCCTAGCCTGCTCCTGCCTTGAGAGCTGGGTGAGCTGATACCAGCGAGAACGGACCTGAATGGCAACAGTCACTGGTCAGTAGGTGAGTCCTGGGGAGAGTGAGGCCGCGGGTCTGCAATGTCCTAAAGTTGGGGCCATCAAGTCTGAGGGGTCCTAGATAGTGTGGGGCCCAAGGGCTTCTGGGATGATCAGAGTGTGGTCCCTGGCATGGCCTCTAGGTGGCAACGTGTAGCCAGCCCAAACTTGTAGCCACGCTTCTGTCCAGGACGGGCCAAGACACTCACAGTACAGAGAGAATATGGACACACGGGGGAGCCAGCCAGCATCTGGGCGGGAGAGCAGCCCTCAGAGGGAGCTAGAACGGAGAAAAATAAAAGTGAGTACGAGAGGGAAGAACAAGAATGAGAAAACGAGAGAGACGTGGAAATAAAAACACAAATTTAAAAGACAAAAATCAAGGCCAAGAGATGCCAAAATAGATATGAGCCTAAAGAGAGACAGAGACAAGAGACAAAGGGAGAGAAACTCAGGCAAAGCCAAGCCTGGGGAAATCAAGAAAAATATGGGGGGGTGGGGCATAAAAGGAAGCCACGAGAGAGAATGAGGGAAGAGGAGAGAAAGAAACGAAGACCAGACTTTAGGTGACAGAGCGCCAAGTGAAAGGGAGACCTAGAGGAATGAGGCAAGATTGGGAGAGATGAAGCGATGCCAACGCCTACAGAGAACCATCTCAGTGTTGCTTAAAGACAGAGATATCCAGGAGAGAGAGAAAGGAGAGGCAGAAAAACACGCCCACAACGCAGAGAGAAGGTGCTGGGCTCGGTGTCCAGGAGATTATAAACCTCCACTGGCCATAGAGATCCTGTCACACTGGGGGAAGCTGCCTTCACCCTCCCAGGATATTTCTCTAGGGACAGGGGTCTCACCTCAGCTCAGACAAGGTGCCATCTGATACCATAAGCCATGGGGATTGGGCCTGAAGGAGACCTCAGATGGTAGATGGGCTTTGGAGACAAAGCATGTTAAAGGATTGGGGCTGAATTAAGAAATGGAGAAGGGTTCTGGGGGAGTGCCAGGGCAGGGCTCTGTAACATGACAGAACCTCCTCCCATCACGGCTCAGGAGTGTCACCATTAAAGCCCAGGACTGTCTCTGTCATAGCTTAGCACTGTCCTTCACACTTCAGGACTGCCCCCACATCACAGCCTAGGGAAAGTCCCTCTCATAGTGCAGTGCTGTCCTTGCCTCAGCCAGGGACTGTCCCTATCACAGCCCCAAAGTGTCCTTGTCACAGCCCAGGACTGATCCCATCACATGTAGAACTGTCCCATTAAACCCGGGACTCTCCCATCGCAGACCAGGACTGCCCTAGGACAGCCCAAGACTCTCCACATCACAACCCCAGACTGTCCCCATCACTGCCCAGAACCGTCCCACCACAGCCCAGGAGTGTCACCATCAAAGCCCAGATTGTCCCAGTCATAGCCCGGGCCTGTCTCCATTAGTCACCGAGACTCAGGGAGTAAAAATCTACCCTGCTATCTCTCCATCAGGCTGGGAGAAGAGTCCCAGATAAAGTCAGGTGCAAAGTTAACAGGAAACACTCCTCCCAAGGTTACGCTGCAGCTGTCAAGGGTTATCAAGACTCCCTTCTCGAAGTTCTTATTGTTTCCCTTCTGACCGAGAAACCTTGTTCTCTAAAATCATAGACTCCCCGAAACTCTGCTGGTTGACACCCCACCAGTAAGAAGGGACCGTCCCACTCTCGCCTGGAGGATGTGTCACTTTGACAGTGAGAAGCTGCCTCGGTTTCCACTCTGGGTGCAGAGCTTCAGATAAGAGGTCTCGGGACACAACGTTCCACATCTATCTCAACATTTAGTTCCAAGAAAATAGGGTCTTGGGTCCAATTCCGAGTCCAGATCTGAGACAGAACTCTGTGTCACCATCCTACCCCCACCCCTAGAGGTCCCCGCGCCCCCTCACCCCCACCCCAGCCTGACTATTCCCTCCTTAATGTCCCCACCCCAGTCGCATCACTGTCCCCTCCTCCACGTTTCCTTCCGCATACCTCCCATCCGGGTCCCCTTCCCACCAATTACGTCCCCCCCATCCCCCATTAAGCCTTATGCTCTTTTTCAGGGACCCCCTCCTCCTTGGCGGCCCACAGCGGAACCTGAGCGCCGCAGGAGCAGCTCCAAGCCCGAGGAGCTGCAGGTGAGTGGTCCTCCCGGAAGTGCGCCTTCCTGCGGGGTTCCCCAGCCCCAGGCGTGGGGCCGCAAACCCACCTGACCCAGTGCGGCTGCGGCCATGGTCGGTGCGGCGGGTAACTCTGCTCTCCCGAGGCGCGGTCCCAAAAAAGCACGTTCCGGCCCCACCCCGCTCACGCCACCTCCCGCGGGAGGGCTGTCCACCCGGCACCCCAGGCCAGCCTGGCCTCCCCAGTTATACAGCGCCCGCGGGGAGCCGGGCTCTGCTGCAGAGCGCATGCGCTGGAACCCTCGCGGCGCAGGGAGGTCAGTTGATACCCACCCGCCTCCCAGCTTCCACCCAGATTCTGTTCCGGCCACGTCCCTGCCTTGCAAGAGCGTGCATGCAGCGGTTTGCAAAAATGCATTTTAATATTTACTGTCACGGAGTGCTAACGAGGAGAAGCAGCCCAAGGTAAGGGAGGGGAAAGGCCCTGAGCAGAAACCTCCGCCTATCTCGATCCCTTAGTGAAAAGGAAAAGCACACAGTAAATGTTGGCAGGCGCCGATAGCATGAAAGAATGTACAGGAAAAGGGAAAGGACTCGTAAGAGGGCTGAAGGGGTTGCAGTCAAACCCTGTTTGAATGTAGTTTTTCCTTCCAACGACAAAATATGAGTATTCTGTGTAACTTTTTAAGAGATCAGAACACACACGGTTCACCATGCCTCCTCCCAGTCCCTTTCATCAGTGAGGCCGGAAAAATGTCAATCTCCCAACTCATCAATGAGTCTCTAAGAACAGCCCCCGGAGCAGGATTTCCTGGTGACGCCCCTTCATGAGTGACACCCCAACTTCAGGACCCCCAGAGGCAGAGTGAGCCAATTACAGCCCCTCAGGATCCCTCTAATCTCCAACAATGCAAACCTGCATCAATGTCCCGTATATGGTACTCCTTGGTCACTGTGCCCCCCAAAACATCCGGTGGTCAGAGTTCCCCCAACTCCTGCATCCTGGTTACTGTGACACCAAAATCTTTTTCCTGCTGAATCTTCAAACTCCGGTCCCTAGGCCACTGTACCTCCGTAATTCTACCCTGGGTATTTTGCCCCCAAATTGTCCCCGGGTCACTGTCCCCCAGCCCTAACAGCCACAGGCCCAGGCAGTCAAATTCCGATCTCTCCCTCTCAGGGCGTTGTCCAGTTTTTCCTCTTCCCCAGCCCTCCTCCCCAAGCACCAAGCCTGGGGCCGTAAGGGTGCGGCGCCCACTGACCGCTCCCGTCCCACCTCGCCAATCCGCGATTGCCGCACACCCCCCGCCGCGGCCAATCCGCAGCAGACATGCAGCTCCACCCGCTCGCCTGGGGCTACATACCCGGCCCCCTCCTGGAGAAATCCAGGGTCCCCAGTTTCCTCTTCCCCCAAACCCAGGAGTCCCTACCTGAGCCCCTCCTCCCTCTGACTCAGGAGTCTCAAATCCCAGCTTCCTCTTCCCTCAGCACTTTTGGCTCCTGTCACCCTCCTGCAGGCAGCGATGTCAAAATTCCTTTCCCCGAAGGGCCACAAACAAAGACGAGGCCTTTTTGCTTTCATTCCTCCATTATCCCCTAATTAGAGCTTAATGTACTCGTCCCTGCCGGCCTTTAAATTAGCGCACAGGTAAAGCCGACCTGCAATTCTTTCCCCAGGAGCCCCGGCCGACTGGCTCCTGCTGCAAGGCCCGTTGGGGGTTGTAGTCCCTGGGGTAGAGGCCACGCGTGGGAGTGATACCGGCTCAACACGCGGTTGCCATATTGTAGAAAAGAAACTGTATTGTAACTTTGAAGGACCTCTGATTAACTAACCCCAACACGCTCTGTGGATTTTATGGCCCCTCCCAGCTGCTATAAGTTGATAACTTGGTTCTTTTGAGTTCCTGAGGAATGTGATGACCCCCCCCTCCGCCCGGCCCCAGGCAGAAAGTCTACACTGATAGCCATCATCAATGCCAACTGAAAGATCAGGGTGTAGGGCATTGCTCTGGTCTCTGATGCATATCCAGTAAAACAAAATCTATGAGGAACTAAGAACAGATGGATGCCCCCACCCTGAGACCAGGTGTCTGCCTCCACCCAGAGACCAGCCCCCTATATAACTGGCCTGTAGTCTTTGTTCTGTAAGATGGTTCTTTGGGACATTAGTCAGCCACCTTCCCCCTTACTAGCAAGCTGCAATAAAGTTCTTTCTCTCCTACCTCTTTGCCTCTGGACTATTGGCATGTCTTATGGCAGGCAGAGGAAGTCCCCTCTTGAGTGGAACAGGAGCGCATGGGGCTGGGGGGGCGGGGATTGTGGTGTGGCAGGACTCACAAAGGGTGGAAATTAAATGTAATGATGCCCTCCTTCTTCTGGCTCCAAATTGCTTTTATGGGACCCTGTGGGGTGGTTTGGCACATGCTAAGTGGTAATGTCTGGAATTGGGGGCTGCACCCAAGAGGCATGTGGTAGAGGCTAGAATTTAGGAGACTGAGTTTAGGGTGGGAGAGTCCTAGTCAGGGAGGCCCAAGGGAAAACGTGGGAAATCAGGGAGGGATGGTGGGGGCTTCCACAGGGGCGCCCCACTTGGCCTTGCACCCATACCCCAGCTCCGCACCCCCAGTCACAAACAGCTCAATCCCTGTGCAGAAGTTGGCTTCGGAGGCCAGGAAGACGGCGGCAGCCCCCACCTCAGCTGGCTGGCCCATGCGGCCCAGGGGCTGGGGAGAGACAAGGGACAAAGGAGGTCAAGAGGAGGCCCCACCTGACGGCCACCCCCGAAGCCACCCCCATACCACCTGGATCTGGCCCCCACTCGTACCTGGGCCAGTGTGCCCTCTCGGATTGTGGCCGTGGGGTCCGGCGTTGAGGCTGCCAGCTCCTCCCACAATGGGGTCCAGATGTTTCCTGGGGAGATGCTGGGGAAGGGATCAGGGAAGTCGGCTGCCAACACTGCCTCTCAGGCTTACTCCCAGTCTTCCCAGTCCCCCCAGGAGGCTCTCAGCCCACTTGGAGCAGCTCACCAGTTGACTCGGACGCCATATTGACTCTCATCCAGGGCCAAGGCTTTGGTCATGGCTGTTACTGCCCCCTGCAGGAGACAGATGGGCAGAAAGTTCAGTCCAGGGAAGATGAGGCTCCTCCCATCCCCTCCTCCCAACTAGGGGTCATCCAGCAGGGGCATCAGAATGGGGAAGCCCTGCCCTCCCTGCAGGCTTCATTGGGAGGCACCAGGCTCTGTTTCTTGGGAGACACCTGGCTCATAACAACATGTCACCGGTTGAGGCCCCTGGGGCCCCAGGGAGGGAGTGAAGGAAGGGGTGGGGTACCTTGGTGGCCACATAGGGAACAGCCTGGGACTGGCCAATCGCCCCGACCAGGCTGGAGATGTTGATGACGTTCCCCCGGCTCTTCCGCAGGTGCGGGAGGGCGAGCTGGGGAGACAGGAGGCGGAGTAAGCAAACCAAGGCCCTGGATCTCCTCCAGCCCCACGGAAACCCAGCCTGATGTCTGGGACAAGGGCCATCTCCCTGATATGTTCAATAGTTGATCTGTAGCATCCAGAACTCCAGAGCGCACATTCTCTGGTTTGCCCCAGTGTCTCTGGGTCTCAGCACTTAAGGGAGAACTCTGTGGTCAGAAGGTGATGTGAGAGGCCTTCATGAAATGCACCCCATATTCTTTTTTTTGCTGAGGAAGCTTGGCCCTGAGCTAACATCCATGCCCATCTTCCTCTATTTTGTATATGGGATGTCACCAAAGCATGGCTTGAAGAGCAGTGCGTAGGTCCACGCCCGGGATCCGAACCTCCAAACCCTGGGCCGCCAAGGCAGAGCGCGTGAACTTAACCACTACGCCACTGGGCTGGCCCCAAAGTGCAACCCGTATTCTGCCAACTTCTCTCCTGTGACTCCCTGGCTAGCTGGAGGTCTCTAAACTAACTCTCTCTCCCTCTCCTGCTCTCTCTCCCTCCATCTCTCAGTTCTTTTGCGGCACATGACCTTGAATAAACTCAAATTTTATCCTCCCCCTCGCTTCCCTTGGGCAGCTGAGCTGGCCAGGCAAGGCCTGTTCTTGCCGCTAAAGAATTCTGAGCACAAGCCTGCTCCCCTAAGGGGTTCTCAGAGTGGGAATGTAAATTAGCTCCCTCTCTGGTTCACGAAACCAGCTCTTTCCAAACTTCTGCACTCCCTCAGAAACAGCCTCCACCCCGTTCTCAGTGCTGTATCTTCAACACACCTGGAGTGCTCCTGTAACTGAGTAAGAAGTTAAAAAGTCTTCCCTGGGCTAGAAGAGAGCCAAAACTTTGAGATAAGCTTTGCTAACTGCAGCTGTGCATACTCAGAATAATCAACTCGTGTGTAAAACTAACCAGGTCTTTCTGTCCCTTCTTAGTACATGAGTGAGCTGTCTTTCCCAGGCAATCAAGGTCCAGACGTCAAGATTCAGCCTCACAAGGCCAAACGCAGGCTGGTGGGAAGGTGCCAGCACGGCCACATGCTCCCCCTCCCTTACCTAAACCTCCAGCACACGCTCTCCCTCACAACCTTTAAAACCCCTTGCCTCCCATCTTTTGGGGAGACGGGATGAAGTTGAGGGCTCACTCTCATCTCCCAGCTGATGTCACCCAAAATAAAAATGCTTTCCTTGCCATAAGCCTGGTGTTCTAGTTTTATTTGGTCCCTCTTGTGTGGTGGGTAAAGAACCTGGGTATGTATCCAGTAACACTTTGGCGAGCCAGCCAGGAGGCTCTTTGCCCACGGCTCTGCGGCCCCTGGGCCGACTCGAATTTCCTGGGAAGCTATCCGGCAGCTGCCTAGGTGGCCCCCAGCACCTTCCATCTGACCAGGCCCCACTGACTGTAGGCAAATTTCTTATAGCAAGGAAACAGGTTCTAGATTTGTTTGTTTGTTTGTTTTTGCTTCTGGTGAGTCGATGGACTCAATCTGAGACAGGGTAAGTCACCTCGAGGATGCTCATGAACTCTCTTCCCCTCCATCTAGGGTTCCTTCCGTTCACGGAGGGACCATCCGGGCATGCATTCGGAGTGGGAACAGTTGTAGGACTTTCTACCCTAAATCCAGGAACCGGTTCACTGGTGTTTTTCTGTGTCTGGATCTGTGTGTCTGTCCATCTCCGTGTATTGGAATGGGAAACATGCTGTCTGTCCCCAAGCGGAGCCATGGGGGCTGATTCTGAGTAGATGGTCTAATTATAGTTATAAGCCAATGTCTAAAAGGGATGATTTTCATTTGTAACACCACATGGCCACAATATTCTTTAGGCTCTGGGGAAAAAAAATGGCCAAACAACGGATTCTTAAGTTGGAAAAATTTTCAGAGAGCTCTCATCATAAACAGCTGTTTTATTGGTACCTATAAAAAGACCAAATTAAAAGGAAAATACAATGACTAGTCTTAAGACGAGTCTTAAGAACTTAACCGAACTTTGGGTCTCAGCTTCTTCTCATGGTCTTACAGATGCTGATGAAAACATTAAGCTAACAAAAAAAAAATAAAATAAAAGGAAGATGAGGAAAAATAAAGGAACTCTTTTCAACAAGGTGGAAATTTTTGAAGTTTTTCAATAATAATAATAATAATGTAAATAAGGCAAATATTAAAAGTGGAAAAGCAAAGAGGAATCAAAAAGGAAAGAGTCATAGGATGGAAATCTTTAGCTAGTTATTAAAAAGAAAAGTGGGATAAATGGAATGGACATGAATGAGGTTAAAACAAAGGTTTTAATAAAACACTGCCTAAGGTTAGATGGGCCAAAAGGACCCTCTACTGGCCCCTCAACATTAAAGGACCTCAGAAAAACCTATTCTATTCACCCCAGTTGGAAATAATTTAAAAAGCCAGAAGGCAGAAATCACAATGAGAAACCTGATCAGCAATTGTTTGGGGCAACAGTTAGACCACTAAGGTTGATAAAATTATAAAGATTAAAATGTATTGAGCTGGGCCGGCCCCGTGGCTTGGCGGTTGAGTGCGCGCGCTCCGCTACTGGCGGCCCGGGTTCGGATCCCGGGTGCGCACCGACGCACCGCTTCTCCGGCCATGCTGGGGCCTCGTCCCGCATACAGCAGGTAGAAGGATGTGCGGCTATGACATACAACTATCTACTGGGGCTTTGGGGGAAAAATAAATAAATAAAAAATTTAAAATGTATTGAGCTAATATTATATGCAGAGGTTATGTCAACTTTGCCTGATTGTTTTTTCAGAAATGAATGTTATGTCTGGCTGGGAATGCTTCCCCTACACAGTACTGTAATAGTGAAACTTGTTTTTTGTGTGTGTGTATGAGGAAGATCAGCCCTGAGCTAACATCCATGCCAATCCTCCTCTTTTTGTTGGGGAAAACTGGCCCTGGGCTAACATCTGTGCCTATCTTCCTCCACTTTATATGGGACGCCACCACTGCACAGCTTGACAAGCAGTGCATCGGTGCGCGCCCGGCATCCGAAACCAGGGCTGCCAGCAGCGGAGCGGGCGCACTTAACCACTAAGCCACCGGGCCGGCCCCGGTGAAACTTGTTAATGGAATCCTAATATAAGTTGTAATTAGAGGTATAAAAGTTGATAAAATTAAGATAAAATTTTGTAAAAATTGGTATATTTAAATGGACTTCATGTAAAATGATTACATCTCTTTTGCCTGATTGTATTATAGATTATGTTATGGGGATTAACATTATATCTCACTGGGAACGTTTCCCTGCCTAATATTGTAAGACATATAAATCCACCCTTCAGGTAACGTTAATTAAACATGCTAACAGAGATATCACTTTAAAACGGCCAAAATGGGGCAGTTTCAGTTTACCCAGACTGGTGTATTTACATATGCAGTTGGAAAAAAGCCAGCTACAAAGTTAAACAACCAATGGGAAGCCTATTTTAATCTTCTGAGGCTTCTAAATGAAATCAGGAAGACTGTACTGCCTCTTTAAAAGAAAATAATTAAATAATTAAACATGCCAGCAGCCAAAGCCAATTCTGCTCTCCTCTCTCCTCTCTCCTCTCTCCTCTCTGGCTGAGCTTCCCCCCTTCAACTCTCCCGAAATTCCTGACCTAAAATTAAGCAAGTGAAAATAAGCAAACTTTTGAAATAATTTGGAATTATAATGGTCATTCTGGGGAACCTCTCTTCCAGCCAAGGCCACCTTAAGGGGACAACCTTAAAAGAGAGGATTCAGGGGCCAGCCCTGAATGGCGTTAAGTTCATGCACTCTGATTCGGTGGCTGGGGGTTCGCAGGTTCAGATCTCAGGCGTGGACTGGCACACCGCTTGTCAAACCATGCTGTGGTGGTGTCCCATATAAGGTAGAGGAAGATGGGCATGAATGTTAGCCCAGGGCCAGTCTTCCTCAGCAAAAAGAGGAGGATTGGCAACAGATGTTAGCTCAGGGCTGATCTTCCTCACACACACACACAAAAAGAGGATTCAAAACCTCTCATGATGGGATGCAATCTTTAATTAATATACGGAAACTTCTAAAAGGCAAAGTTATTTAACATGATCTAAAAGGATATTTGGTAACTGAAAGCTTATTTAAGTTTGTTGGTTTGATTGAAATAGGCATGTCCTCAGAGTTGTCAGTACTTGGATATGATGCAGATGCACAGCCTGGGTTTACTAGTCAAATAAACTCACATTATCCCTGTTACAAATTCATCAGCGAAATAATAGCTTCAAATGATAGCTAATTTTGTCTAATGTCTCATGAAGTTTCCCTGGGTATTCTAAACATAATTGTTGGAAAAAAATAATTTAGATGGGTAAAAATGGGTAAGACAGAGATCCCTCTGAGAACAGGAACAAGACAACGGTGCCCACTCTCACCGCTCATATTCAACATAGTACTGGAAGTTCTGGCCAGAGCAATTAGGCAAGAAAAACGAATAAAAGGAATCCAAATAGGCAATGAAGAAGTGAAATTCTCACTGTTTGCAGATGACATGATTTTATATATAGAAAACCCTAAAGAATCCATCAGAAAACTATTAGAAATAATCAACAACTACAGCAAAGTTGCAGGGTACAAAATCAACTTACAAAAATCAGTTACATTTCTATACTCCAACAACAAACTAACAGAAAGAGAACTCAAGAATACAATCTCATTTACAATGACAACAAAAAGAATAAAATATCTAGGAATAAATTTAACCAAGGAGGTGAAAGACCTATACAATGAAAACTATAAGACATTATTGAAAGAAATCGATGATGACATAAAGAAATGGAAAGATATCCCACGCACATGGATTGGAAGAATAAACATATTTAAACTGTCCATACTACCTAAAGCAATCTACAGATTCAATGCAATCCCAATCAGAATCCCAATGACATACCTCACAGAAATAGAACAAAGAATCCTAAAATTCATATGGGGCAACAAAAGACCCCAAATAGCTAAACCA